TCACGACTCCACCATCATATTTGGCTGTTTGAAATATCGAATGAAATATGCTGATTTCAAAACGATATAAATTCGATTCCCTTCAACTTCAACTCATTAATATTGATTGTACATAAAATGTAAATCATGATTCGTAGATTGAAAGAGGTTTGCACGAATTTCTTCCCTCAGTGGTCTTCCCCATTGGAATCTTTTGTAGCGATTAATAAAATGGGCAGTTGTTCCACTTCTTTTAAAAACCAAGACCTAGTAGATCACTCTCATAGAGGCTGAAAAATCCAGAATCCATATTATCGATTTTTTTTAGAACAAATTCCAGGTACCTAGACCACTGGAATCGGCGTTCTCTGAAATAGATCTGTACCTAGTTTCATGAAAGAATATTCAACAATAACGATTCTATGGCATTTCCGTTTGAAATATTTGATAGGAACAGATACAGGGGCTGTTCAAGATTCAGAATTCTGATCACCCTGTATCTGTTCCGATTAAATATCAGTAAATAGTAAATCAACAGTTGAGATAAGGATATGTGAGACGTTTTGGCCGATAATGAATAGTTTCGACACAAATATCTGTAAATTGCTCTACATAGTGTTGACTGATGCTTTGAATTACTATGAGGAGTATGAGGGTAATTGAATTCAATCAAGAGTACCTTTTTTGTAGTAAATCAGTTTACGCAATCCAATTTTCGTTTTCAAACCCATTTCTTTCCATTGGCGTAAAAGTTTCAGATGTTTATTTACTGGAAAATTAAGTTCTCGTTCTACACCCATCATGGAATGATATTCAACTTAATCATGATATGGGTTTATACCAAATTTGAGTATAATCTCATGAGCTGTTTCAATGTTATGAAGCAAAAACGATTCGAAAATTGTAACTTCAGAGCCGTTTATAGCGTCCAAACAAACTGTGTCCAAACTAAGAATCATGCATTTGTACTGAGATACGTTTGCTTGCATCGAATTGTTTTGGTCTGAGAAATGATGTGGTAACATTTTGTAAAGACCTCTCAGAGACACCCTGTATGATGGTTCAAAAAGATGTGGTGAATATTAATTGATCATTCTAGAACACGTGATTTTGACATGATTTCTTGAGGGGCACACAAACTATCTGTTAAAGAGGTTACCTTTGATGAGCATAGCCCAGGCATAGCCCCTACAATATAATAACAGTTTCACCAAACACAATTATGGAATTCTTTCTAGTTCCAACTCGGATTCCAAGGAAAACGATCCCACTCATTCTGGTTTTATATGACATATCTTGATAAAATACAATGTTTGCCCCTCAGCAACCTGTCAAATGACGTAATTCTGGAATGATTTATAGAGCGTACATTTCATTCTAATTACCCCTCCAATTTCGATAATAGCCAGTAGGGATAGGCATTTTCATTCAATTTTTTTTTCGGAGACTTCAACTAGTAGTGAGACACGAAACCCATCGTTCCATGCATAAAGTTGACACATCAGCAAAGACAATTTTCTAATGTATAATTATTATAATGCGATCATGATTTGGGCGAATCAATATAAGTACAAGGTGTCCTAAGTTTAACAAGTTTGAATTTAGTGTTTTAAGAATCTCCAGAATATACTGAAAATGGATACCTATATTGATGGAATTTATTTGCGAAATTTTTTCGTCTTTGAATTATTTCTCTCTCTATATTGAAACCAGGAGGTATTCCTTTTTTAACTTATTGGTGAGCTTGTATATAAACATTGATGATACCAATATACTTTGTATCAATTGGGGTAGATAACTATATACTGGGTGTAATCTCAAGTCGAATAAATTATTGAGACGCCAATAATATAGCCGATGAAGAATAAGTATCTATAAATATCCTCAAAATGTTAAGTTGTAATAGTAATTTACACAGTATATAAGCCTTGAAAATACAAAAACCTATATCAGATTCGTCCACATTTTGAGGATACCCACATATATAAATATCTAAATATATAGGTAGGTATATTCGAACTATAAAGGTCGTATTACGAAGATAGTCTCACGTCACCATGTCAATAAACTATATTAAAGTGTTTATACAACACACTAAACACCACATCTATTAAACAAGTCAAGAAAATATAATTCGAACATCCTGTAATTTCATCAGCAATTTGCATTCAGAAAACTGAAACCTGTTTCTATATAGGCGCTGACTCGAATTATGTGTCAAACGAAACTGTAGACCTACCTACGTATATCTATATCCATACCTATATTGATTTAAAAAGGTGTCTAAAAAATTGACAGCCTCTATATAGGAAACACGTTTACTTAGGTATTTTTAGCACCTCATTTATATCAATGAAAAAAAAAATAGTAAACGGTTACTGATCCCTGACCGTCGTGAGGAGAATTATTGAAGAGGAAAAAAAACGAAAAATTTCTAAATCTGGATCGGTGGACCGAATTTCAACGCGGCACCTGTTGATTTTCACATCAAACCTAAAAATGGCGCGTATCACTTACAGGTTTGCCGTATGTGCACAAAGTTAACGCCAATGCAATTGAACGCCATGAGACAAATTTGAGAAGAAAAAAATCGAAAAATTTGTAGATCCGGCTCGACGGAAGGCACCTGTTGATTCGCAACAAAACTGAAAATTGACGCGTATCACTTACAGGTTATTTGCAGTGTAATAGTATAGTGTGTACCCAACATGTTGAACGCCTATACAATACCAGATTATAAATTATTATAAAATTCGTAATGGAGAGAGAGAGAGAGAGATGGTTGTGGTCGTGGGCAAACAAGTGTCCGTGAAATCGGCCACAACTGGCACGACGACGAGAAATGAAGAGAACAGGTAGAAATCCGAAAGCTGCCCCCAGGTAAAATGGGGAACCCCTCCCGCAGGCAACAGAGCAATGCTCGAGTCATTCCGAATGTAGGTAGATATACGAGATGGAAAGAAACACGACCATTTCATACAAGGTGATTCTCTAAACTTGACGGAATAATATCAAAATCGAGGATGATGATGTCAACACGGTGAAAAGTAACTTTTTTTATATGATCTGGTTCCCACGAAAAGGGATATACTGTAATGTTCAGAGAACATCGTGAAAACCAAGGGAAATAAGGTAGGAATTGGTGTTCTTCTTAAATTTATGGCACTTTTAGCAATTGATCTCACGTGATTTTCCCAAGAAAGGTTATTGCTTATAGCATAGATTAAACAAACAATATAGTAATACCAAGCATCGATATGGATGTCTTCAAAGGTATGGTTAGTCCTGACCTGACATGCTTATGTTTGGCACAGTGAGATCGGCTTTTCTAGAGAAAAGACATGCTTGTGTTTTGTTTGCAAATCTACCAAGTTATTGGATCCCCATTCGAGAATTGTTGCCAAGTCCATATTTATGTTGTCAACATTTTTCCCTCGTTCGCTTCTGATTTGCCTGGCTGGTATTGGAGCCCTAAAATTCTAAAATTCGGTAGTTCCAGCAAAAAATTCTTTTGCAATACAGACAGCTAATTATTTAGCACATCTTACAAAATAATTCACCAGCACTAACTCAGTCATCATCACTAAGTATTTAGTAAGCATCTTCCCAGACAGCACAGAATATTCTTTCAATGTCCTCATATATAACGTTCACAACATATTATCTCATTCAGAATATTCCAAAGAATAATAATTGAATATGATGAGGATGTTATGAAAATTCATAGAAATTTTCACGAGAATATTCATAAAACATTTCATCCAAATATCCTATATCCCATATTCTTTGAATGTTATTCAGGAATATTCATAGAATATATGTATTGTTCGAATATTCTAGGCATATTTTCCGAACATGCAACTCATTTATATTTTTGAAATCAGAAAAGAAGGCTCTATCAACATGTCAAAAAGTATATAGGGTGTCCCATTTAAAAAATCTGAGTTGATGTTCTTTCCGAAAAAACGACTTACCCAGTATATGAAATAGCTGCACAAAATAAAAGTTTGGGTTGTTTCAATTAAGTTTTTAATTTGACATTTTTTCATATCTCTCAAAACGAATGAGTTGAGAGGGTTTCAATTTTAAGAGGCGTATACCCTGTATAAAAAAAATGTTATTTGTTTCAAGAATTTTCTCATTTTTAGTCCCAGAAAATGGTTCTTCAAACATTTTTACATGAAAACGGCACTTCAAATATTAAACAGACCGTTTTCGAGAAAAGTGTCATCAAGAATGTTTTTCTCATTGTTATCTACAGAATTATTACTCCCGGAGTATACGTCATTCTGTGGGACACCTTGTTTAGTATTTAGAGGTTTTCACTATACTGCTTGATTAAGAAATTTGCATTACTGTTATATGAAAGTGTCAGTTTCAAATGAAAATCAAGATAAGATGTATGTACCTACCGAAGGTTTCTTGTTGAACTCTCATATTTTCAACACAATATATATCGTTTAATTAAGCTAAGCAGTTATTTACTTTGTATACAACAAATTTTGGGGTTGGAACATACGAGAAGGTATATGATATGATACGAGTGATAAATCAGTGAACCAATTAAATATCAAACAATTAAAAGAAAACAGGAGTAACACACGGACTGAACTACTACCTACTATGACGAAGGTATAAACTTATAGAGAAAATCGAGGGAAAATATACATTCCACGAGGAGGAGGAAACAATTCATCGAATTATCTACAAGTGTGAAGCTTTGGAATATTGGTGGACGATGGCTGTGGTTTGTCAAAGGAACCACACCTTGAGAGATAACTTACGAGCTGTGGTAGAAGTCCATTGCATCCCAATAATGTAGAGTGGGTTGATAAGAAGACATATCAGGAGATGATTCAGTATGTTTCCTTTCTCTAAGAGCCTACAATTGTATAAATAGAAATACGAAGACACCTGAATGGCTGATATCCAAAAAAATACGAGATAGGAATTGTTGGTGTAACGAGGCCGCTGAAACCTGAAGAAGAAGAAGAAGAAGAAGCAGAACCACTCGCACTTACATCGTCATCTCCGTTCTCTCGCTGCTCCTGAGCGCTCTGATGCTCCACGATCAGGAAATCCACATTGTTGTTGAGCAGCTCCTTGTCGTCGTCCTCCTCCTCGTTGTTGTTGTTCTTGTTCAAATCCGGAGACCTGCGTACTATATCGCTGATCAGTATTCTGCTTCTCTTTCTGCGCGAGCTCAGCAGCCCGTCGCTGGCCAAGGAGTCAGGAGAATCGGGGTGGCTGTCCATCCTTCGGGCAGTCTCTAAGGTCACTATTGTCTTATAGGCACATCGTAGTAGGTATGGCAAGAGGCGGATGACTAGCTCGGATGTAGAAGGCTCGAGGCGAACTGACGTACGTCTTGGTTTGCCGCGAGCAAGAGTGACCGGAGCGAGAGAGGAAGAGGGGGATCGTCGTCTCTCTTTTCTGCTTATCTGCCCGTTAGGTTGCGTGTGCGGATACGATCGGTCGTTGAGATTTCTTTTTGTGTGTACCAACAGATTTTTGATTCTTCGAATCAACAGGTGTCTTAGAATTTTCCAATCACTTCACGCAACAAGTTTTTAAAACTTCCTTTTTCTTCCTTGAACTTCCTCGAACTTCTCCCCGGATTGCTCTAGTACTTCCCGAAGGTTCTAGAACTTCCCAAGGCCTTATTCGAAGCATTTTAGTCAATTCCCCGCAAACTGACATTTTCTTTCATCAGGTGCGTTTCTATAACTTTGTTAATCTTTGTAATATTTTCATATAACGAAGATATTTTGGTTAATTCGATACGTAGGTATACTTTTATAAAAACATAACTTATTATATAAAATATCTATTTTGTCTGATCTTGAAATTTATAGTTCCTCAGACTTTTTCGAACTTTCTCATGGAAAACATTGTTTTTCATCTCAAATTTTGAAAATATTTGAATGAAGAAAATGATGAATTTTTTATAATGAATCAATAGTATGATGAAACTTGAAGCAAGTTTCTGAAATATCGCATATCATAGTTCTGCTTCGAATTTATATACGTCACCGTGTTAATGTATTTACCTACATTATGCAAACGATATCGATAATATATCCCTTCAGGGGTAGATAAAACCCCTGTCAACATATTTTTTCCAATGACCAATGACCAGTATTCACATTCACAGAATACAATAGTTCGACCTGGTTCCTAATAAACACTTATTGAATACTTATATACTTGCATGTATGTACCAAATATTTTAGTTGAACCAAAATTATTTTGGCCTTGACAAGAGCGTAATGCCTAGAGTTCCCAGAAATACAAGGAAAGAAGAAGAAGAAGAACTATACATTGTCAAACTAACTACCTAACGTCAATATCGTCTGTCACCTTCATCTTCAAATCAGTCAAGATGCGAATATTCACAGATAATCCTCATATTATCTGATTCTCACCTGTGTGTTATGATATATGATCGTATTGAATTGTTCACGGGTGATTACGTCAAACGTTTTCCCGCGTTTCTCTTGTTATGAAATATCGTGAATTTCAATAATTATTGAAAAAATTTCTGGAGCTCTGAGGAAATAACTGTTCACGACAGTGGACTAGTTAGAGATGGTACTTCGAAATAATGAATGAAATTTTTCATTGAATCAGACCCATTGTATGCCATAGTGTTTTTATACAGCCACAAAATGAAATTAAGTTTTTATTCCGTATTCACAGTTTGAATCGAATGAAAATACCTTACGTTTAACTGTCGCTATAAGAATCGACATTTAGATAAAAATACGTTGAAAATATATTAAACTTCAAAATTATATTTTCATTTTATGCAACCCTCAAACGTACCTACTAGCTGTAAACTAAAATTTGATCATTGCGCTGGATTCCTCTTTCAACCAGCTTTCCAATGTGGGGTCACAAGCCATAGTTGTTGGGGCTGATTTCAGCTATACCCCTGAAGGGTTATATTCTTCATTTTGCTCAAGCACAAAATGTAGGTAAACACATTTAAACTTTGACGTGTCTCGCGGATTATCAGAAAAATTATTATTTACCTCCCCGCTTTAGCGAATTTCGCTTGAAGTCTCTACCCTGTATAATAATAACAACTCGACTAATCTGTGATTGAGCTATGGATGATTGTTAAGTTATGACTCACCCTGTATATACTGATGTATAATGATCATGTGATCTATAGAGTGAGAATCACTGATTCACTAAGTAGATGCGATATTTCAATATGTTGATTTTGTAATTCTGAACACTTGTACTGTCGTATCAGTACACACTACCATCAGTTATACCTGTTCGATTCTTTGCTATAGAACTTGGTTACATAATCTTTCTCTTGTTCTGCTTTGATTGAATATAAATATATGGTACGGTAATGGGTATTGATGATGGGGCTTGAAATTTTTTTCCTAGAGGCCCAGCATACCTAATTGGGTTTCTTATTTTGTGGTTCTCGCTTTACGAAAAAAATATTTGCGATCGTACGTCAGGATTGGGAAGTACTCCTAAATAAAGTATTATTTATTTTGAAGAAATAACCAATTTAAAAAACTACTGTTAAATTTTAAATAATTAATCTTTATAGTATTGTAGTCTTGAAGACTCTGATGTGGAAAATTTCAGGAGTATAATATAAAGCTATGTTGATAAAATTCATCATCCAATTGAAAAAGTTTTTTTTTACACAAAATTTCAGAACATCGAATACTTCTTCGATACTCAGTTGCTCAGTACCAGTTTTATCATCTTCCTATGGTCGAATTCACGCCATATAAAGGTATCTATTCTTCTTTGATCAGTCCATGTAATGATAGTTTTTTATTATACAAGAGAAAAAAGTAGATTTTAGCTCGAGGTAGCGTAGCGGAGGGAGACACAGAACCGTGAGTTAATAAAATCTAATATTTTTCCCGTGAATAATACACTATTTTTTCTGTGACAGGAAAAATGACTAATCAATATCGAGAAGATATTATAAGTTCTTTCACCCCTACTGATTTATATCACCTCCACTATAAGTTATGCCTACATTGGGTATTAGCCTTGATTATATGTATTAGGTATATCAAGAGTGATATTTTGAGATATTATGGGAAATGAGGAGTATCTCAGTATTTCTAATAGGTAGATAGATGAAAGATGATAGATGGTATGGAGTTCCGATAGATCTTACGAGAAGTGATGATTGAAGAGATTCGATCATATTCTAGGAGAATTTGGTAACTATGATAAGAACGAGTTGGGAAACAGAAATCACCAAGAACATATTATAAGTGATACAAAAGGTGTTTTACGAGCATGGATTCTGTATCGATCGATTCACTCATGATGTGAATGTGCGAGATATTTTCTAAGGAAGGTGCGGTCCAATTCCGAATCCAAAGAAGACCATCATCATCATCGAAGAACAGCTATTGAATATGAATGCGAAAGGAAGGACCCATTTACCTTTACATCAGGGTCCTGTCGATTCCATAGGGGCATTATTATTTCCAAAATGGTGAAACATAGAAAGTTGATCAAATTAGACGAAAGTTGCGAATTGAACCACTTCAATATGACTTTTTATACAATATATTTAAGAAAATTTTAGCAGTTCCTGAAATATTTCGAAAAAACTGAAAATTATTGATTTCGATTATTATTAATTTTCTCAGTTAATATTCGAGGAAAAAATCTGTAACTTTCCCATTATAGTTTCAGAGATATATATATATATATACCTATATATTAGGCAACTTTTGTTTTTCATATGGGTGCCATATTTGTTTTCTATTACATTGAATAGGGCTTAAAATTACCTTCAGAGCCATGTAAAACATATCGACAATAATTATTAACACATGAACACAGCGCTAAAAGACAGTGAAAATATTTTTTTGCTGGATATCACTGAAAAAATGATATCAGCCAATTTCTTTAAATTGTTTGAAATTTTATGGCATTGAATTCTTCTGATTTTTTTGGAAACCTGTGGAAAGTTGCGGAATTCTTTGATATTCCTCAAAATCGTTCAGAAAGCCTCGAAATCTTTTGAAATTCCTATATAGAAATTATTTAGAATTTGTTGATGGAATCTCTTGTGAGGTCTCCTTGTAAATCATTGGGAATTTTCGCGTAATCCATTTCTCGGGATTTCTCGAGATTTCTATATAGATCTCTTGAAACCCTGGGAGTTCTTGCAATCCTCTTTGTAATATCTGCATAATTCTCTAGAATTCCGTATTGGAATACATTGAAATTGCTTAGATTTGCTTGCGAAAGGAAGAAGATATCTGGAGATTTTCAACCAATTATTATATAACTACCTACAACTCTAGTATATCTGAAAGATGAAATGAGAAAATCAATAATTTTCAGTATATCTATACTTATCGGGCTGACCAAAAATAAGCCACTTTTTCGACCCATTATAAAGACGCTCCTTCCTCGCGCGTTATTATTTCAATCAGAAGTATATTGAACACGGTCTAATACCATTACTTTTGGCTTGAATTTTTTCGTAAGCAATTATTTCTGAAATTCCATCACTAAATTTGAAAATAATAAGATTTTTTCATAAAAAGATACTTTGGCTACGATGATGGCTTCATGATTTATCGAAGTCAAACATGCATTATTAGATACTGTTTTTATGAAAGAAGTGTCACAATATTTATGAATGTCTGTATTGGAATTTTAATTGCTAACAATAAAGTGGAGGCAGAAAGTATACACAAGCCGACCCTGTTCAATACACTCACATTATTATTCATTTTGACTTCAGCATAAAATTTTATGAAGCTTTAGCTTCCTTTGGAGCCATATTTTTGCCCCATGTTCATTCCAACTTTTTTCTTATTTTTGTTTGTGGAACCTACTGCTGAAAAATTGCCCGTTAATCATCATTATTATCAACCATTCAAACAGAATGACCGTTATCGTTGCGACGTTTCGACGGTTCATTCAGCCATCTTCAGGCCACAATCAACCAGGGATACGCTCCTTCCTCGCGCGTTATTATTTAATTCACAAGCGTATTGAACAGGGTCAGATACCATTACTTTTGGCTTCAATTTTTTCGTAAGCAATTATTTCCGCAATTCCAAAATTGATCACTATATCGAAGTCAAACATATGAATTATTAGGTACTTTTTTATGGAAGAAGTGTCACAGTATTTATGAATGTCTGTATTGGAATTATAATTGCTCTTCAATCCACTCCTATTAGATGCAAATCTCAAATTGCGTATTCAATTTGACTCAAGCATACAATGTTGAGAA